AAAGGTGCAGGAGGACATCTTTAAAGTGCCACGCTTGCTTTTGCTGTCTTCTGCATGCCGTGAATTTTTTCTCCTCTACAGCACCCCTGTGCCATGTGCCACCCTGCCTTGGAGCCAGCCAACTATGTGCTGAAACCTCTGCAAACTCAGCTAAATAGACCTTTACTCCCTTAGCTTGTGGGTGGTTGGATATTTTGTCTCAGCAACGAGAAAAGTAACTAAGACAAAATGTAATTTTTTTTGACAAAATATGTTCTTAATTCTAACAAAAGAAAAAGAAAATAAAAATTTATGCATCCTGTTAGCTAAAATGATAACCCAATTTAAAAATCTGGCAGTTATGGCAGCAGGTCTTGGTATTTTCTAGTTCTGACAAAGTCTACTCAGTCATTAACCAAAAAATCAGCAAAAGTCAGTTTTATAAATGTTCTTTTTAGCGGTGTTGGTGAGGGAAAATGTACAATGTTTTCATGATAAAACAGTTCAGGTGCATTTTATTACAGTCAGTTGCTAAATAATAAATGCACAATAAGAATTCTTTGGTAAAATAGTGGCTGAATTGTGCCAGCTAAATTTGTGAAATAGAATAACCAATTGTAATATTGTATACATTTTTTCAGAGCTGTAGGCTTTGGCTTTCCCAGTTTATCTTAAGCAAATTATGATTTAAAAGGGAAAGTTTCAGTGTTACAATGCTAGTGAATAGGTCATGAGATTAAGTACAGACTTTTTTTTTTTTCAGTGCTGACAGTTGAACCCAGGGCCTCATTCATGGTAAGCACAGGCTCTACCACTTACCTACAGCTCCAGCCCAAGTACAGATGCTTTTAAACATATGTGTTCCCACCTACTCTACTGCCCATAGAGAGCCAGTGCCATAACCAGAGCCAAGCTGAGTGTCATAGTACATACAAGTAATCCCAGCACTCTGACAGGCTAAGACAGGAGAATTGCAAGTTTGAGCCCAGCCTGGGCAATTTAGTGAGGCCCTGTCTCAAAATTAAAAAGGGGGAGGGAGCTAGAAAGTAGCTCAATGCTAGTGCCCTGGGTTCAGTCACTAGTCCCACTGAATAAATGAATGAGTGAATGCGTACATACACACATACATTCACAATTTAGTTCTACTTATTTACCATACCCAATACAATGTTATCAAAACTTGATGTTTTCTCAAGACTTCATAAGAATAGGGGTCCAGCTGTAAAGTATCAACTACCATGGCTAGTTTCCCCAGTGTCCAAGAGTCCTTTATTTGAGTTTATCCAGATGCTGCTTCTCCTCCTCCTCCTCCTCCTTTCTTTTGGTCCTTATTCACATTATGTAATTTTTATTTTTTTTAGACAGGGTCTTACTATGCAGTTTGCACTGACCTCAAACTCAGGTGATCCTCCTGCCTCAGCCTCCCAAGTGCTGCAATTACAGGCATGTTCCACCATGCCCGGCATTACATAATATTGACATTATCTGTTAATAGAATTTTCCCCCTTTATATGACTTACAGCACCTCAAGGATGTTCATCTTTATTTCCCTAGTGCTTGGCATAAATAGGAGCTCAATAAATGTATGTTGAGTAGAATTGAACTAGCCCTGAGTAAAACACATCTTCATGCAATGTGCTGCCCCAATTCTGTCTCCTTGTCATGGCTCACAGGAAAGCCATGAATCCTGTGATGGCACATTAAATCACAGACCAGCAGTCAGCTGCCTGAGAAAGTTCTGTATACTATAAAAACCCAACAGTAGCCACCTACTGGCCCCCACTCTCGGGCAGCCCTTCCAGCTCCCCACTAGGGTCTCTGGGCTCCAGTGCCTGGACTGGGTCGATCATCTTGCCTTGTCTCCTCCCTCCGTTCTGCTGCCACCCCCAGCTGCAGCTCCGAGGCTGATGCTTGTGCAAAGAACTTCCCACTGAGGTGGCCCAGTGGTTGAAGGGGCCCAGGTCAACCTATGCAGGACCCAAGGTCAGGGTCCTCCCACACCCTGCCACAGTCTGTCCAAAGCCACAGGAAAAATGGTGGAAAATTCACTGTTAACATTGCCAGAAAGAGCAATTTATGGCTTTGTATTTTTCTTAAGCTCGCAATTTGGCTTCATACTTATCTTGTATGGACTTTCATTCCTGAATCTTGGCTACACTCTTTAGGCTTAACCTACTTGGCCTCAAAGATACTGGGCAGTCGCACAGCCTGCCTGCCTTCTTATTGCTATAGTAATTGGTTGTGTACTCTTATTTGGAATTAACATTATGAGCACCTCTCCACTCAACTCCATTCATACAATCAACAGATGACTATGCTAAACTCAGCAGCAGAAGAAATACCAAGTAAAGTCCATCCCAGCATTAAGAGATATCCTATTAATGAAGTAAACCAAATGTTTTTTTGTTTTGTTTTGTGTTTTGGGGGGTTTTTTTGGTTTTTTGAGACAGGGTCTCACTATGTAGTGGAGACTGACCTGGAACTCACTATGTAGCCCAGGCTGGTATCAAACTCACAGCGATTCTCCTGCCTCAGCCCCTGAAGTGCTGGGATTACAGGCGTGCGCCACCACGCCCGGGTCCCAAATGTTTTTTCTTGCAGATAACTTTACACCAAAAATTGAGTTGTGTGTAAACATACTAGCACCAAAAATTTATTTCTAAGATTTTGACAGAATAATTTTGACCATGATTATATTGACTTTCATTAATGCCAGTTATTAAGGTGTAAAAAAATGAAAGTTGATCTTTTCTTAAATAAAATTCAAGCTGGGGATTTAACTCAGTGGTTCCACCGCCTGCTTTACAAGTGCAAGGACTCGAGTTCAATCCCCAGTACCAAAAAAATAAAATTTTTAAAAAATAATAAAATTAAATTAAATAGTGGGGGGAAAACAGTAAATGTCATGGGCTGGGGGAAAAAAATAAATGGAAGAAAAAGGAAATAGGGCTGGGGAGTTAGCTCAGTGGTTCCGCCGCCTGCCTCGCAAGCACAAAAAAAAAAACCCCAAAAAAAAAAAAAAAAAAAAAAGGAAATAAAATTAAACTGCGGGTGAAACCAGTTATGTATCTATTTTAACTTTTAAAATAGGCACCAATAACATATTACTTTTTTTATTTTTAATGCTACTGGAGATTGAACCTAGGGACTTACACATGCTAGGCAAATACTCTACCACTGAACTATAGCCTATATAGTCATATAGCCTTTGACCTCCAGTAACATCTTCCTGTGTTTCCCTAGCAAATTCAAGGTTTCTGAGTCCATTTTCCAATGATATTCTGAGAAAGAAGTAAACTCCATCTTCTGAGATGTTCTTTCAAGAACATTGATATTACACATTATGCACAACACAATATCCCACTGGAATAATTTTTACTTATGAATATTAGAAACTTAAAATATAAAGATCTTATGAAGAAAAGGACAAAATCGTGGTTCAGAAATTGGAGAGGATTTGAATGAAATCAAGAAAATTTCCCATTTTTTATTATGAAAGCTTCAAGATGATTGATAATGAATTAAGGGTAGCTGGGCTGTGGTGGCGCATGCCTGTAATCCCAGCACTCGGGAGGCTGAGGCAGGAGGATCACTGTGAGTTTGACCAGCCTGGGCTACATAGTGAGTTCCAGGTCAGTCTCAACTACATAGTGAGACCCTGTCTCAAAAAAACAAAACAACAACAACAACAACAAAAAAAACGATTTGGGAAAGAACATTTAAGTTCAGTTTTCTCATCTGTAAAATAAATACATAAGCATTCCTGTAAGAGGGAAGAGCATATGAACATACTCATATAAAAGCTCTTTGTTATAAGAGGAGGCTAAGGGGAAAATAATTCTTGTCATCAAAGAAGTTAAAATAAGTCTACTTATTGTCCAAGTGTATAAACTTAAAAATTACTTTAGAGAGCTTTATCCCTCTCCCCTTTAAAGAGAAGAAATTTCACCCAAGATTGTGGGCTGGTACAGATTCAAGGGAAGAGATTTTTGTTTGGGCAAGATGGCACAGTTACAGCAAAGTGGTTGGAAGTGTTGCTGACCCCTCCCGGTAGTCCTTGGTGGTGATGCTGACTTCACATGGGGATTTTAAAGAACCATGTTATGATGAAGGGCTCTGGAACAGGAATGTGCATAAAAAGCACATTTCAGAAGCATTTCACTCCTACCAGAGGCTTTCAGAGATTGACTGAGACCAGAGTCTGACTGGCAAGGTGTATCTACTTAAAACTGAGCCAGAATTTTTTGTGTCTTTTGTGGTAAGTTAAACATTTCTATGTGCTAATTAATCATTATAGCATAGTCATTATGAACATAATTCAGGGATAAATTTTCTTGAATTATCCTTTTACCTATTTAATACCTGTATTGCCTATTTTGAGAGTAAGTAGTTTTGATTTAATCTAGAGTATGAAATTTGAGTTTACTGTCCTAATTATACTTCCAGGCTTCCTGAAATAGCAACCCTACTACCTGTAGATACAATAAGTTTAGACCTACCCAGTGTGAGAGCCTGTTGTGATCAACCATTGTGATCAAGAAGTAGGAATTCTACTTATGTCAGCTGAGGTTTTGTTACAAGTCTCTCCTCTAGACTCAGGGTTAAATAGGACCAAGAACCATGTGTCAGATTCTCACTGGATGGTGCTCTACTCTAGATATTGACCTGCTCACTTATGTCCTTAACAGCTTACCCAGCCCTTGCCAGGCCTTCTCACCAAGGATCCACACACACAGACACACACACACACACACACACACACACACACACACACACACCCCAGTGCACACTGTGTAATTCTCCCCAGCTTTATAACTTGCAATACTGTGGTGTCTAGAGACCTGTGTTTCCATGGCTCATACCTCAAGGCCGACTTCCTGGCACTATTAAAGCCAACCAAGATGCATACAGGTGAGTCACAGCTGCATGAACACTGATTTAAACTTCTGGCCATCCCCAAGGGAGCCAACCTTTAGTTCAGTCTTCCCCTGGGAATTCTGGATTTCTTCCTATTACAGACTCTTGCTACTAGGATCCCAGTGGGTGTCAGTACCAGATGGAGACTCCAGCCAGGCCAGCATACTCTCAAATTCTACAGGGACACAAGAAGAAGTTGTTATGGAGAAAGGAGTCTAACTGTATTTTGCCTCCACTGAGGATAAACTCAGAGGAAACTTTGAATAATGTGTGTTAATGGGTGCCTTATTACTATGACACAGGTTATTTTTGGTAAGATGAGTGAAATAAGGTTTCTATCCTAAATGGTATATACCCCTAGTTAAAATGCAACTCTCTATTAACCTGCTGCAAAAAAAGGTAAAAGATAGTTACCAAATTGTTGTAGCATGAGCTTAGCACCACCAGCAGTCTAAAATGATCATAAAGTCAAATAAAACTTGTAAAGATCTAATGAGTTGTGAAATGAGGAGCGCTCAACGATGGGCACCTGTGTCATGGAGTCTGTAAGGCTCCAGTTACATAAGGCCTTCGTTTCATTGGCTGTCACCCAAACTGAATCCCATTGTACCTGCTCAATCTGTCTGGAGTCCGTTTCCTCATAGGAACCACTAACTGACCACTCATGTAGATGTGCTATAAATATTCTACCACCTCTTTTGGAGAAATGTGTTGTGTTTTTGTTACCTTGCTGTGGCTGGGGTATCTTCCGTTCTCCAGGGCCCTCTGTTCTTTGGAGTGAGTGTTGTGTTGCTGCTCACAATTCAGATCCACCAACAGCTTCAGTCTTTTGTATAGTGCTGTTTCTCCTCAGATACTTGGTCCCTTACTCTCTTTTGCTAAGTAGCAGGAAGGCAGTTATGAAGCCTTCCAATAAAGCCTTTACTGGGTGGGGTTTTATCCAGCTGTCCTTGTTTGGCTTCTTGACAAAAGAGTCCCACTCTGCATTGTGTAGAATTTACCCCATTGTTTTTATTGCTGCCTTTCAAGTAGAACCAGGTTAGCAAATGATAGAAAATTAAATCCAGATGATTTGTGATAAAAAGTATGTTTTGTGAAAAAGACCACTCACTCATAAAGAATGTTCAGAATGAGATTTTGTAAATACTTCTGTTATCATGTCCTTCCAGTGGTTCAAGCCGTCTCAATTCTGAGGCAAGGCAAGGAAATTCTGGTTAGCTTTTTATTTGTTTAACATTTCTGTTTTAAATGAGCAGAACCTCAATAAAGCATAAAATAAATTAAAGCTTCAAAAGGACCTTGTAATCACCTATGTGCTTCATAACCCAAAAGAAATGATGAATATATTTCTTTGGTCTTGTACTTTATAAGTATGTACTGTTGCAACAGAAATGGTTATCATGCTTTTAATTTCAGGAAACTTGTGATTTGGAGAAGATAAAGCCTGAAGCCAGACGATACTTGGAAAAGTCGGTTAAAATGGGAAAAAGGAGTGGACTTCATCTTCCAGAACAAGTACAGAATGTGAGTTAATGTTTCCTTTTCCTAATGGGACAAAATGAAACTACAGTAAAACAAACTACAATAAAAATCAGGAAATAGGGAAACAGATAAGCTGTAATCAAATAACCCATAATATTAATCCATTTACAGTATAGTTGGTATTCAGTGCTTTGTGCTATAACTCCCGGTGACTGACAATAAATATTCTTTAATCCTATTCAAGTTTTATTTGCTTCATATGTTGGACTTATTTCTCCTGCTCTTTTTAATACTCTTTAAGAGTTAGTTCCAGGTCTTAATAATTGATTTGTATCTTCCTCCTTTGATCATTCAGAGATAGGATACTGGTAATAAAATCCTTATTGGTGAAATTTTAACCCCAGCACTTTGCAATGGAATCCTCTACAATTAATATAAGCTCCTTAAAAGAAGAGAAATTAGCTGCCAAAAAGTGCCTCTCAGACTTCCTTTTGTCTAAAGCCAGTCCTGTCTTCCAGGTTCAGCAGTAAAATTGGGCTGCAGAATTAACCTCATTCCTCTTGAACAGGAAGTATAATCCATGATTTATTTCCAGGTCATTCTTCTAGACAGCAGAGCTGGTAGTAAGTTTCAAAGAATGCCAGTAATGTCCTCCTGGTAGTTGTAACTGCAGCCACCACAGAGATATAGGTGCCATTTTCCTACCTGAATCCCCTTTGAGCACCTGGTATCCTCTTCATCCTCATAGAAAGGTGACCGAACTTGCATGACCCTGTGCCTTCCTGGTCAATCTTCAGTTCTCTTTCAGACATGTAAACTAACAAAATCTCCTTTAAACAACAGAAGAAACTTTGTTGCTTGTGTAGCTGGAAGATCCAGAGGTAGATAGATGGGCTTCATAGTTGGATCTGGATGCACAGTGGTGCCACTGGCCATCTGATTTTTTTCTATTTCTCTGCTCTGTCTTCTTCAGTGGTGGTGTGTACGAGTCAGTGCTTACTAGTAAAACAGATTTAATGCAAGATACACAAATATATAAGAATTTACAGGATTGGCCTACAGTGGCTGCCTGCAGAGTCGGGTGTGGAAGAGTGCAAAGGTCTGCTGCTCACTGTAGTGTCCCATGCAAGTCCACATAACGCAGCTGAAGAGTCTGCGATGAAAGGCTGAAGGGGCCAGGCGTGGTGGCGCACACCTGTAATCCCAGCACTCGGGAGGCTGAGGCAGGAGGATCGCTGTGAGTTCAAGACCAGCCTGGGCTACAAAGTGAGTTCCAGGTCAGTCTCAACTACATAGTGAGACACTGTCTCAAAAAACCAAAAAAAAAAGAAAGGCTGAAGGGTTTGCGCTGGAAACCAGGAGATGTCCAACAGGAAAGTGAAGACTGGAGCTCTTCTGGAGAAACAGAGTATCAGAAGAAACAGCCATACTTCCTCATTTCCTTTTGATACCACTCTGGCAACAGTCCTCCTTAGAGTGGGTCTTCCACACCCAGAACTATGCTGAGCCAATGTAGTTTAACATTACTTACTCAAATTGACAGACTCAGTTAACTATCATGTAATGTTATACAAAGGCTGCTCTTTTACTAAAATGGCTGTGGATCCTAAATAAATAAACAAACCATCATCAAGAAGAACATAGAGAAGCCCCATCAAAACTCCCATCATGTCTTGACTCATAGTAGATCCTTTGCCTGAGTCCCCAATCAGAAGTTGATTCTTCTCAGCAGAGGCCCACTTTAAGAAACATTGTAGTTTAAGTAAATTTAATTAGCATTATCAGAGAAGTGGAACAGGTTACAAAATTATTTCACATTTTTCCTCATGGTTTTCTTATTATGTCCTTGGATCTCCCACCTAGTAATTTTCTACAAATGTTAGTAAGGGGAATGTCGGGCCTGGATTATCTGACCCAGTCACTGTGGTAGGAATGATTACCTAAATGGTGTTTTCTATCCAAACTACACTACTACAATGTAGGAAAGAAATAGGAGGGAAGGTCAGGAATGGTGGCGCATGCCTATACTCCCAGCACTTGGGAGGCTGAGGCAGGAGGATTGCCATGAGTTCAAGGCCACCCTTTCCTGAACTGCATAGCAAGACTCTGTCTCAAAAAAACAATTTTTTTTAAATGGGAGGGGAGTCATCAATCAGAGTGTCCTAAAACAACACTGAACAATATGCACAAAGGCAGAAATCTCAATTTTAGTGTGCTTAGAATTACCTAGAAGACTTACTGAAACTTGCTATTGCATCCTACTCCCAAGAATTTGCATTTCAGTGGAACTAGTGTGATATCTTGAGGAATTGCATGTCTGACTAAAGTTCCCAGGTGAGGCCAGTGCTTCTGTGCAGAGCTCCACTTTGAGACCCAATTTACATTCTGGGAAGACTGGGCCAGATTAATATAAATTTTCTTGTAATTTCTTTCTTACTGCTTACTTTGCTCATATACACTTTTTATGCAAACAATAAGATCCCTAAATCATTTTTGTTTGGAAAAGTTTTGTAAAACTAAGACACTACCTTTTTTCCAAATCAACCTTAGAATTACTCAGTTTTTTTTTTTTACTGAAATTACTTGTTTATTCTTCAGATTTACAACTAATTCTAATATATCCCAGGTTTGCCTTTCTGTAAGCACTACACACGGATACCATCAGCATGACATAGAAAACTGCCAATTGTTGCTTTTCCAAACACATCTCTGACATGTTGGGTAGAGTCTACTCATCATATAAAATGTACTTTATTGATGGCAATAAAAATGAAAGTTTCTTTTTATTATTAATGTTCTATATATTTTTCTTTATTTCAGGAAATCAAATCAATGAAGAAAAGAATGAGTGAACTATGTATTGACTTTAACAAAAACCTAAATGAGGATGATACCTTTCTTGTATTTTCCAAGGCTGAACTTGGTAAAATTCTGTTACTTTTCTTAAATTAAATAACTTATACAAGTAATGTCATCTCACCATTTGTTATGTTTTCTAGACAAAAAACTTAAATCAGAGTTTAAAAAATTATTTAAAAAATGACCCAGTAACTGACCTTAACACCCTTGCTATGGAAAAGACAAAGCAGCTACAATTATACTTTAGGCTACTAAGAGTGTATACTATTTCATAATATTTTCCCCTATAATCTTGTTAACTTAACCTGGCATTCAGCAGCCTTCAGAAACTTGAAATTTTTTCAGCTTTGCTATGACCCCTACACTGTAATTTAAACCAGTCTTTTCTTCTGTCTTGGGCCTTTCTTGGTTCCATTTTGTCTGTTCTTCTCCAGAACACCATCTGCATAGGGGCAGTGCAGCCTGTTAATATCACGAATACCATCTCCTGAGCCACCTGGCTTCTCACCATCACCCCTATTCCAATAAAATCAAAGTGATATTATATAGATTGTTATTATTTTACCTAAATTTCAGTTACTCCACAAAATTTCCTAGAGCTACTTAAAGGCACCATGCCAATGCTAAATAAACCAATAATGAGTGGAAAAATTGATGTATGAGAAAATGACTTTTTGCAGGTTCTCTTCCCGATGATTTCATTGACAGTTTAGAAAAGACAGATAATGACAAGTATAAAATTACCTTAAAATATCCACACTATTTTCCTGTCATGAAGAAATGTTGTGTACCTGAAACCAGAAGGAGGATGGAGATGGCTTTTAATACAAGATGCAAAGAGGTACTACAAATGTTTGTCCTTCTTTTATGTTTATGGAAGATTTTCAGGAGGAAAAGGCTTGTTTTGTTTACAATTACTGAAGTCAGCTCAGAGACTGATATTCCTATTTGTATGTGTGTGTGAGAGGGTGTGTGTCATAACTCAGACTTAGAGGACTTTTAGCTTTTGCTTTGTTCATTAGCAACTTGCTCTCATGGACACAGGCTAAGTTGTTCTAATAAAAATAGAATGGATTAAGTTAACTAGAAGTTGTATCCCCCACCCCAGGGCAGGAGCCCAGGGCTGGTAAGGTAGCTCTCCCTCCTCAACAAATGACTTGCAAGTTTATTCCTAGAAGTAACTATTCCCCAGCTTCTTGGGAATGGGGTGAGGGAGTACAAACTGTCTTCAAGGACAAGGCCTAGAAATTACATATATATATATGTGTGTGTGTGTGTGTGTGTGTAT